TCGAAATCAAAGTGAAGATCCAGCAAGGCGTCCAGGCAATAATGGCAAAGGAGATGAACCAGACCGGCCGAGTGTTGAATATTAATCGACTGCGGGAAATGGATTAAAAATTCCTTGTACCTACAACCGTGGCCCCATCACGATCTCTTGTTTTCAAACAACTTTTTTTAAACATTTCGATCTAATTTACATTATTTTTTTATCTCCCTTGTGAATAATTTAATGAATCTTAAGAAATATCATTTCATTTGTTCGGTTTTCCAAAAGAAGTTTTATTTATGAGGCACTGTAACAAGATATTGAACTCTGTAGTCTTAATTTTTATAGCATTCTTTTATTCTTCGCTATTTTAATAAAATAAAAAGTCACTTAAGATTTTAATTATAAAAGTCCGTAGTAACATAAAGAACTAGAGGACTAAAATTCCGAGAAATGTAATTGTCACTAAATGCTGACTTTATTATTTTTTCTGAATCTCCTTAAAAGGTATTAGACAGCAGTGTAACAAAATTTAACGGATATTAAAAAGTTTAACTCGTCGTGGAGTTAATATTGACGGGCGTAGCAGATGGGAAGAAAAGGGGTTTCTTCAAAAGAATTCAAAACGGTGACAAAAAGGCGTAAAGAATCACGGGAAGAAAGGGTGGAAGTAACTTATGCGGCGAAGAAAGAGCTTCAAGAATTAACAAAAATAAAAGGTGACGGCCGCAGCGCTGTTTACGGGGTCGGAGGGGACCACGTTAATTAAAGGCTTTACGCGGACTTCGCGATGCAATTTGCTTAAAAGACAAGAATTATTTTTATTGAAGTCATCACTAATTTCGTAAGAAAAGGAAGGGGCCCCATTGTTGTGGACAAATGGCTCACTAATTGCGCGGTCTTCAGGTCGAATTCTGATAATAGCATGCGATGCTATTGTCATTGGTTAAAAATAAATGATTATAAATTCAAATATCAGAATTATAATAAAAGCTTTTTAAATATATATACATAATTTATTTTAATTACAACTATTATCATTAATGATCATTAATAAAATAAAACTAACTTCCTTAATTTTATAAAAATCCATCTTATTTCGACAAACCCATTTCTTTTGTGTCTACCATAGAATAAATGCTTTTAAATATAATGTTTTATATTCTAAATTAATATTACCTAATTCTATCCTGCTTTATAAAAAATCTTAATTAAGTTTGAAAACGCCTAAACAAATTTTAAGTAGTATTAATTATCTTCCTCCTTTATTAATAAAAGTCGCGAACTTTAGATTTGGAAAAATCAGAGTGGAGACAGTTGTTCGCAATCCAAGAATCGGCAGAGGGGCCTGTGGGGCAGAAATTAAAATCATAAGAAAATAATTAAAGTCCGTAAGGAATTTATTGGACAGAGGCGACGTGATTAATTGGTTTTTCGGGATAAATCTACCCGAAAGCAATAAGTGTCAATTTTAAGTACGACGCTAAGAAAGTTATTAAAAATTATAATGAATGATTTCACGTTGCATCTATGTTAATATAACTAAAGAAATTGTAATAAAATTCTTTGCCAGAATCATAATTTTCTTTTATAATTGGTTAAAGAAACGCTAAAGTAAGACGTAACAAATGGTGTCAATTTAATAATTCATTTAGAGCAATCATTTTCAATTGGGGCGTTCGTGGTAGGGTTGAACTTGACCATTAATAAATGGCAATGATACTTCAAACTTAACCCTCTTTGAAGGGAAATAATGAGAGATATCACTTGAGGTCTAATCTGCTTCGTTCGGATAGCCGTTGTTTTGTTTGGTGCACATTAAAATCAAAAAATGATTGTTTTATCTTATAAAGTGTTCACTTTAATTGTATTTTTTCATTTTTGAATACCCATTACAGTTTTATCAAGTTGAGGTTGTAAAGAAACGGTTTTATTTCTTAATATGCTCCTGATTTTTACGAGGAGGTATATTTAAAGCAATTTAATGAAAAATAAATAACAATTCATTCTGAAAATGAAAAAGGACATAAAAACAAGGACAAAGTTCTCATGTATCTGTAATTGATGGCATCTTTAAAGGATATACAGAATTAAAGTCACTGTTAAATGAGACTTTTTGATAACAAGATGCAAGAAAAGTACGATATTTACATTTGGTTTTGCTTAACAAACATTATTTCTGTTCTATTTGTAGAGTCATTGTTATATTCTCTTAATGTCCCAAAGATGAAGTCACATGAAATAATTAATAATTTGTTTTATTGATATTTTATTTATAAACATATTTACTTATGTTTACACTTTATTAATACTGATTGAGTAATCTTAAGAGTATAAAGCTACAACTGAGGTATATGTATCAACATTCGCTCGCCCATTTTTAATGGACTGAAAACCAGATTCGTCCTTAGGGAAAACAGGGGAAGAAAATTTTACAAAGAAATAGTGTATTTGTGATATTTATTATTATATTAAAAGTAGATCTAGGGTCGAGGAGGAATTTTGCCGACGGCAAGCGGACGATTACTGCGGCTACCAAATTTATGGTCAAACTTCGCGCGAAGGCGACGGCGCGAGTTTTTATTATGATCAGTTCAGTGGACCGTGAAAGAAAGTCGCCGCGGGGAGACGTAATTTCCATACCTCATGTCTGTTTCTGTCGCCCTGGTACTTTCTTAATAAAAGTTCATTCTGAGTTTTAGTAACCATTTTGTTTTAAAACATTCATTCCATCTCCATCCACCTCTTCTGGAATTTCACAAAATGTTAATTTGAATTTGAATTTTATAAAACAGAAAACGAATTTGGATTCAATACATTTATATAAATAAGGTCCTTGTTAAAAATCGATTTAAAAATACTATTTTTCACTTCATTAAACCATTTTACTACTTTTCAATTTTAAACATTTCACATACTTCGTTAATTACAGATTTTTACATTTAATTATATTTTTTAGTCGTAAAATTGAAAGAACAAGGAGCGAGAATAGCAAATAAAGTTTTTATGGCTTAGGAACCCATTACAATTTCAAGTCACGTTAATAATATATTCATACTTATTCATAAATGTTCTCATATTTTTAAAAATATATAATATTTTTGTGGTTAATTGTGTCTTACTAGACGGTTTCATACAATTTTTAAATACATAAACGAAAGCAAGCAATTAAGTAAAACCAACGAGGAAAAAGGCGGAAAAAAAGTAAAAATAAACACAGGAATTGTAAACCCCCTAGTCATTGGGCGAAAACTTTAAGTAAGTCGTGAAAAATGGGAATATGAAAGAAATAATTTTCCGCGCGAGTTGTCTGTGCAAATGAGCTGAATGGAATTGCTGAGGCGAATGATTGAGTGCTCAATGAAACAATGTTCAAACTTTATATCCAAAGTTGATTGCTAATCTGAAAAGAATTTGCTTAGTCTTAGATTCTCTTGAGAGTTGATTGCTTGTTGATAATAAGAAATCTAAGGTACTTCAATCCGTACCTGGCTATTTATATGGTGTTGAATATTTTCTATCTATTATTCACAACTCTCTACCGATGAAATACCTATCCCTGACCATATTAATTGTTTTTAATCATTGAAATCATACATCAAGTCTTATTAGATTTAAATTCAGTTACCCGATAATTTTATTTCTTTACAGGAACCGTGATCGCGGGCAGACGAGATAAAAATGTCATTATGGGCACTATGCAGTTATAAAATAATAAAAAAAGCGTACTATCGGAAAAACTTAGTTTCATTTAAATGAGGACACGTTAATTAATACCTTACATATATGTAGTTATGACTTAATATTAATACTAAATATGAATTACCTAATTACATGTCGCTTCTTTCAATACGACTAAAATATATATTTTTAATTTATAACAATTAAATCCAAGTAGGGGAAAAACAATTGTGATAATGCTTTGAGTTTCCCGCCATCTATTATGGAATAGTTGACTTTATGAACATTAACAGGCATTCTGATTCTACAGTTTAAGGATTTTTTGAAATAATGCCATCTATCCGAGAGTAGCTACTGACTGAGTAAAGCATGTCTTCAAGTATTATGGTAGCCTGGTATGAATTGGTCAAAAACGATCGGCAATGGTGGCATTGCAATTTTTTTTGGGTTTTTAATTTTTGTAATTTCTAATTTAATTTTATAATTTAATTTGTATTTATTGTTTCAGCATTTTTTATTGTATTAAAAATAATTTAACAATAAGTTTCCTATGAATTTTATTTGTTAACTAGATGACCCGGCAGACTTCGTACTGCCTCAATCAAGAAATAAATAATTTCTTAATTATTTTTTTGGAGTTTACCTTTAAGTGTTCTAAAGTGCGGCAGAATGATTGACATATTTGTTAGAACTTGTCAAATCTAATGTCAAAAAACCCGTTTGTATGGGAAATAGAAAAGCGCTGTTTTTAGGGTTTTCCCGGAAATTAATTTTTTTTTCAGCTTTTATACCTTTCCTGAACCTCCACGAACATTTCAAGACTAAGATAAGATAAATCCGTTCTGCCGTTCTCGAGTGTTAGCGACACTAAGGAACAGCAATCCATTTTTATATATATAGATAGATAAATAGATTGTAAGTTATTATTACTTCTTATTACTTTTAGGAAAAGCAAAATGAAACTAAACATCATGAATAATATAACTTTATATTTTATAACAAATATAGATTCATGTACTGCATCAGTACGGCTAAAATGGTAGATTGATATCATAATTATATACATCAGATTTTTTTAAAGCTACAATAATTAACTAATTATAAAAGTTTTACCAAATTATTTACAGTAAAAATATTCTTAAATAGATCTATATATAAACCAGTCATTAAATAAAGGCAGTTGTTGTACAATATTAATTAATTTACTAAACAAAAATATATTTACATTTTACATGAAAAGTTCCGTTTGTGTTCAATAAATACCAGTAATTATAATTAAGGAATAAAAATATATATAAGGCACTTATTTGTCGGATACTATTCGAATACTGATCAGGTTATTAATAAGAGGTGGAGCTGCTGTCAGGCCGTAGTTGTTTCGTTTGTACGTCATCGTATGCAATAGTAAACACACTTTTCTTTTCCGTTATAGGTAATCTCTTAATACCTGTTTGATGTACAAGTGTGCTCATGGCTATACCAGAATCATTGTCATCTAATTTTCTTTGATTCTCAGAAATCGTTTCGCCCGATATCTTAATTTTGGAGACATGAACTTCCGATGCAGATTTTTGTTCATTTCCATATGCACTTGATATAGCTATGCTATGTGTTAAGGCACTTTCTGCAATATCCGGTTTTATGCCGCCTTCTGTTACACCGTCTTGATTGACATAAATTGGCTGTTGCTCTAAAGAGGTTCTTTGTGGCAACACTGGTTTTTCGGTTTGACTACCTAAGTATTTTGGTATATGTGTTTGTTGAACGTAACACAGAGGATTTTGATTTTGGTACTGGTGCTCGTATCTGTGTTCTGAATGTTGTAATAAGGGATGTACATCGGGTAATGGTCCTTCTGGAACAGGTGTTACTTTTCCTTCTTTTAATAAACGAGGATGTATAAAATCACTTTCTTTATCTTTGAAGTTTTTTTTTACTTCACCAGCTTGACTATCTTTGCTAATAATTTTACCATATCGGCTTGTTCTATCTTTTGTGTCTCTTTCTTGTTCTATTTTTATTTTTGACGGTCTTTTTGGTTTGTCTGGTACGATCTTTTCAGATGTTGAAGGTTTTGATTTTTTGCCATACCATTGCATATAACGTGGTAAACTTTTAACAGGCTTTTCATTATTTTTCATCGATTCCTTATTCTCCTTTTCCTTGATTTTTGTGGAATCATTAGTCGGAATGTCTTTATCAGTTATCTCTTGATGACTTTCAATTTTGTTATTTTTACTATGACTTTCCAATTGGTTACTAATATTTCCTTCAGCATCTTCTGAAGATGCTTGTCGTGAGAATATTGAGTTACGTTTATCTTCACCTGTGGAATCTGTGCCACTGGGAGAGCCCTTATTACTCTCATTGTCATAGGAAATATTTCGTTTTAAATGCTCAGTTCTCGAGGATGATGAAGAAGATGGTTCATGTAGTTGTTTTCCATCGAGTATTGATTTTTCTTCCAAAGAATCTGATATTTCCATCAATACTTCTCTACGAGATTTAAGTTTTCTGTCGGGTTCTGCATTTTTATATTGTGTGGAACTGACATATTCATTCTTAGAAGTAGTAACCGTACTTTTGGTGATGTCACCGTAATGTTTAATTCTCTCCTCTCTTTCATTTGTTTTGCTTATTTTAATCTGTTTTTCATTTTCTGCGGATGGTGATATATCGCTTTCCTCAATTATAGGCGTTTTAATCTTTCTTTTCAATTCATAAACACGTATACTACGCCTTGGGTCTTTGTATTTAATTTTCTTTCGTGGTTTTTTCTTTTTAACCCATGTTACTTTATTGGTTTTATCTGAATTTATTTGTGATTCATCTTCACTATATGAGTCATTATCACTACGAGATTTCCGTTTCACTTCATTTAGCAAATGAGAATCTGTTTGAGTTCCAATATGACACTCAGTTTGAGTAGCCATTACAGCATGCCCTGGTAAACTTTGGGTCTCTAACTTATTTTCCACTTGAGATGCTGTTTCCTGATTATGTAACATTCTTTCACGTTCAATTAATATTTGATGTAAAAGTTCATTTTGCTTTCTTAATGATGATTCCAATAGTTCTTGGTGAATAGATGACTTATTGTGCATTTCTATAAGTGCAGATTGTAAATAATCCGATTTATGAGGAACAGCCCCTGGTACTTCTGGTGTCATATTAGTGTATTCATGCGGAAAACTATGTTTATCTATAATTAGTTGAGACTTTTTACCATCTTGAGCAGATTGGACGTTGTCTAAATCAGTCACGACTTTATTCATTCTCTCCCTTATGTTGTTAGCTTCCTCTTCTTGTTCTCTAATAAATCGTTCCATCAACAATTCCTTACCATTATCGACTACTACGTATTGAGTGTGAGGAATTAGTGTTACTGGTCGTTGTTGTTGTTGAATGGGAAGGTTAACGTATCGTTCGTCCTCAGGTTTTCCCCGCGTAACAAGCCTTAATATTTCAGTGTTTCCCTCTTTAATGAAAAATTGATCTCTGGCCATGGAAGACGGGTCACGTTTATCAGCGTACTCAATTTTTAATCGATGTTCACCATGTAAATTTTTGTCATCAGTCTTATGATCCCCTTCATTTTCAGAGCCTCGATCGATTTCATGTCTTCTTATAGAATCATTGTCCTGGTCTTTTCGTTGATGATGTAGTGTTGCTATTCTATCATAGCCATTTTCAAGATCTTCTATGTACTCTTTATGTTTACTAGCAAAGGTATCTTCAAGTTGTATTTCTTTTGTATAAATTATGTTGGGGCCATCCCTAAAACAATTAATGTTTATTAACCAATATTATTTTGATACAGATTATTATATTTATAAAAATTACAGATCTTTCTTTACCTTCGACGAAAAGACTGCCTAGAATCATCATATTTATAATCATTATCAGTAGCAGCTTGCACAAATTCTTGTCTAATGTCACCAGGCGTAGAAGCGGGTTTACTCAATTCCTTTGATTTATAATTTCTTTTATTGAATTTCCATTGAGTTGGTTTTGTTCTAATGTCTGTTTGTTCGGCACTCCAAGCTTCTCTTCTCCTCCATTCAGGTGCTTGTATTGATTTACTTTCTAAGTTTTGGGTCGACTTGTTTTCCCTCCCAACTCCCTTGTCGCGGACCACTAAATGCACGTCGTCCTCTGTGGAGTTGACACGTATCACTCTTTTCCTAGAATTTATTAATAGATATCTATGTACCTATCTCACTTTATGTTTTATTTTTATATATAATATTTATCGGTTAGAGTGCGGTGCCACATTATTTTTATATAACTTTTCATTATCATAAAGTGCGATATATGTAAGTTTAAATAATATTATATAAAAATATTCATAACTGTTAATACATAGTACATTATTTTTTATTTGAAATGGAATATATAGATTCGAGGTATTAATATATATTTTACAGCAATTATCATTTTGAAGCAAATACAACAATTGTTTAACTACCTTGGTGGCATATACAATGGACAACCTTCGCAAATACAGCAACATATAAGAAGTAATAAAACGAGAGCTATTAATATTGCTAATAAGATTAAAAGCCAGAATAATAGTCGACTCTCCGCTTTATACACGCCCTGAAACAAATAAAAAATAAATAAATAACAGTAACGAATTATTTCACTAACTATTACTTAATCAACTACTACTACTACACTTACAGAATCGTTATCAATTATTGATGTCTGATCTTTCTGCACGACAGTGGTGGAATATAATGTGATATTCTTTGTTAGTTGTTCTTGAAGTTTCGCAACGTTAATAGCAGCATTACCAGCCATACGAACTACTGCAGTAACCACGCTTCTAAAAACCAAAAAAAAAATTACTTTAGAAATGATTTTCTACATACTTAATTTACAAGTAATCTTAATAATAACCATTCACAGACACATATTTTGGTTTAGTTTTTACTTACTTTTCTTGACTAGACTCCTGGCCACTCTGATCAATTGAACCTTTATCATCATTACTTTTGTAAGGTTTTATATCTACAATAGTTACTCTCCCTCCAGATAATGTACTCAAAACTTCTTCTAATTTTTTTCTATCTGGATTAGCACCGGGAACAATGAAAGACATGGTTCTAGTTTTACTTTCGGGAGGATAAATCTTCACTGTTGTTGTTGAAAACAGCCTTGGAACTCCCATATCGTAGGCTCGAATGGTTAACATATAAACTTCACTTTCTTCTTGACTTTCAAATTGCCTTTTACGCCTATGTGCACTTTTCTTTGTGATTCTCTTTAATGGTTCTAATAAATAAATTTCCCCTAGAAACAAAGAAGGTAGGTAATTAGTCAAAACTTGATATTTTTGTCGACACCGTAATTTATGTAACAATAATAGGGTTTTTTGTTTCGTTAATTCCAAATATTTTATTTCAATAAAATATAAAGTGGCATAAATATGTATATACGAGATGTGAGTGTCTGTCAGTTGGTCTTGTTATTTTTTAAAATATGTATATACTTTATTTCAACAAATTATTCTTTAAAATAATATATATCTTTACAATTTATATGGTTTATACATATGAATTACTTTAGTTTTGCAAAATCTCAATAATGGATAAGTGTCACGAAAAAAATTAGAGTTTAAAAATAAGTAATGACAAAAAGCATTAACATACCTGTATCTTCATTAATAGCAAATTTACCCTCACGGTTTCCTTCAATTATTTCGTATTTGACTACATTATTGGGTGGTTCGGCATCTTTATCAACAGCCTTCACAAAAGCCGACGAAGTAAAATTATTTAAACTCGGAGACAATACAAATTCATATAAGGCCCTTTCAAATTCTGGTGGGTTATCATTTACATCTAATAACTTAATAATTAATGGCACTGTTGTTACTCTTAATCCTATACCGTCATTATCTCTAGCTTCGACTAAAAAATGCAGGTCTGGCATTGCTTCACGATCAAAACCGTGATTATTTGTTGCTACAGTTATAATTCCTGTTATTGGATCTAAATTTAAAGAAGTATTTAAGTATCCTAGTATGGCAGTAAATTGAATTTTTCCATATACCCCTGTATCTACATCATCAGCTGCAACTTGGACAACTCTAGTTCCAGCTGTAACGTTTTCTGGCAATTCCACATCATAAGATAATGCCAGAAAAATAGGAGGATTATCATTAACATCATTTAAGTAAACGGTCACATCCGTAGTTGCTGACAAGTTTGTTGCTGGACCAAGTTCTTGTGCCAAAATCTGAAAATAAAATAATAATTTTAGGCTTTTATTACTGTTAAATATTTACTATTATACTATCTATAGATTTGTTTACTCATAAATATTTCTCACACGAAAAAAAAAAACAAAAAATCTACCTGAAACACGACTGATTTTCTGGCTTCATAATCCAGCATAGTATTGTCCCGCACTTTGATAATGAATTGCGCGTGTCTCTCCGCCACTGTTGGTGATATTTCAAAAGTCCCATTATTTCCAACTAACGAAAGAGAAAACACTCCGTTTTTTCCCGCATCGTTGTCATTCACTTGCGGTATATACGGATCGTTGAATACCAAAGCTGTACCTTGCGGAGCATTTTCATCCAAATGTGTGATATAACTGTAAAATTATATTTCATTATATTTTTAAATAATCTTTATCATATATGAGACAATTAGTAAGAAGTGTTTTACATACGATTCATTTTCAAAATAAGGAGGAGAATTATCCCTTTCAGGCAAAATGAACGCCAGTTGAACCGTAGATGACATAGCCTCAGGCTCTTCCCGTGAAAGTCGTACTTCTTCAGCCACAACAGTAAGAAGTATTGGTGCTCCAGCGTGTGATATTGCTGCAATTTCTTCAATCGGCCGTTCCAAAGTTACCTCACCTTTAAAATAAGATTAGAGTATTTAGAATAAAATGACAAATTGAAACAAAGTTAAGTGAAAATTCAAATACAATAGATTCATAGTAATCAAGGTGATGTTTTAAAATTATTATATTACACATGTCAAATTAGGTTACCATTGCGCCATCTATATAAATAAGTGAACTAATTATTTAGTTCGCTTTTCAATCTCAAACGGACTGAGGTTCCTTAATATATTTCTAAGAGTGTGCAATAGATGGCAGTGTAAATATTTGATTTTTTAATGTTTTAAATTATAATTTTATTGTATATTTCTATGTTATAATAAAACAAAGCTTTTTAAGATTAATTATTAAAACGAAGTCCATATAAGTCATTATTATTATTTAGTATACATATTCATTATAGTTTTATCAAGGTTATTCGGTTAGATGGTAAAAGTTCATTTATTTATTTATTTTCAAGTTTTGTTACTAACCTAATTCATATGGAAAAATATGTATTCAAATCTAATAACGATATAAAAATTATTTAATTAATATCGAATTTATAAATTTAATCTTCATAGAGTTTAGATTGGATTTAATAAAATTAATAATTAACATGTTCATATTTGATTCATAAACATAAAATAGATCATAGTAATAACATTAATTTATTATGAAATGGAGGTTGTTTTAAAATACTTCTCTCTTAAAATGAGATGGGTACCCTGAGTGACTTTCATTGTTTGGTTACAAAAAGGCATTCATCGCTCGAAAAAGTTGTCACTGAATAATACATTAAGTAAGGCCTCTATGTTTCTGTTTAAGAGGATGGGCGAGGTGACAACGTATATATTTTATTTCTTAGAAGCTTGTTTGCACGTCATAGCATTTTATTTAATTATACTCATATGATAATATGATTTAGTTTTCAAATTGTTTATATATAAACGTGATTATTCTACTTACTTAAAGGTACCTAGTATTCATTACCAACATTTGAAAGCTATACTGATATTAATATATGATAATTATATTGTTATATACAACATGTATTTAAATTATACAGTAATTTACACATACCGAAAATATTACATAATAACAAGAGAGACATTAAGACACACAAATCTTGATTTGCATACAAAAGTGTCCCAGCGAGAAATTTTAAGTTGCCTATTACAATGACAAAGCATTTTAGCGAATTATCATAATTTATCATCGTTCCATTTTATTAATATTTTATTATCCATATAAAATATTTCATTGTAATTTTAATATATTCATATATATTTAAGCAGATATTCTTAATAAAAATATCCACTAATGCAGAGAGTTTAAAATTTTATAAGTCAATGAAACTAATAGTTATGAAATATACGGCTGTAGAAATACAACAGAACTACAGTCATTTTTTACTCGGCGCTCTTTTTTATCTGAATGGTTTTCAATTGCCAACTTTATAAGTTTTGCTTTTGACATCAATTCTATTATACACTTTTTCACAATGTTATATTTATAGCCTGTCTGTCTATTTTATGAACAGTTCTCAGTTGAACATTAGTTGAATAAAGATGAATCTAAATCATTTACTTATAACGGAAAATCTAGAATGTCACTGAGTCGGTTGATAAAGTCGAAACAGGAGTATTGTTAACTTGTCTTGGATGCTATGCTATTCAAAGTTAGTACTCCTTTATTATGAAAGTAAGGTAAGACAGAGATTGTTTACAATAGTATGCTCTGTGTGCGCTCAGCCAGAAAATTTCCGCCACTCCTTAATAAACAATTTAAATACAAAGTTATTTAGTTTTTTTATTGTCCGGGTAACTAAAGTTTTACAATTTTATATATTTAAAAGTGTTTATTAATTGTTTGTGCTTTCAAATGGTTTCATTTTATAGGATAAATTCACTATTGTTAAATAATTTTATTTTTTTAAGGTAATAAGTATGTTTTTAGTGAAACGTTCCCATTAAAATTCTTAACCAGGAGCAAGGTTTTCAGCGGGACTGTCAACAGGTATGGGCTAATGAGGTATTATACACAACTGCAGAATCCTAGGCTGGTAGCATTTGTTCAAACGATCTCCTTGTCCGTTAGTACGCATTGTACGACCTCCGATGGACTGCATATATTCTAAGAAATATATCACTTAATACCATCACATACAGTTTATTATTGAATGAATAACAGAAGCGACAATGCATCTTTAGAGATTGGAACTATTCAAATACATAGTTCCTTTCACAACGCAAAACATTCAGACTTGTTATCAAATTTTATCATTATAAAACATCACAATGAAACCACTAATGTAGCTATAAAGCTGTAAACAATTTTCTACTACTTTGATATAAGCTTTATGTTAGTTTAGTTTTCATTTTAAAACTTTGCTTAATTCGTCAGTCGGTATACGGAAATTAGTGAGCTTTGTGGTTAATTGTCAAAGTTTGCAGTTAAAGTTGGATTTTATTCGTTGAAAATAACTGAAATTTAATCTTGGTTTAAATAGTTAATAAAATGGGTTTCGTGATGCGGAATTAACTCAACTTAAGTAGGTTACGTTGAGGGTGATAAGACTGTAAGATATAATGAGGTAGGTCGACGGTTTTATAAAAATTCTAATAATTTGACCTCACTGTTTGAATATAAAAATGCGAACGGAAACAGATGTTAAATGAGGATAAACTTTAGAAGGAACGCATGTTTATTACTATGTATGTTCATGGAAATCATGGACATATTGCTTTAGCTATTTAGTTAATTAAGATACCAAATTTGTTTTAGCAGGTGTTCTCATTGATTGGGTTAACCGCTATGTTGACCTTTAATAAGTAATTATAAAGGATTAAACCTAATCGTATAAAGTACATAACTTTGAAACTTTAATATGTTTATAATCATTAAGTTACAGTGTAATATGAGAGAATTAATTATTTATTAGTATCTCTATTTTAGTATCGATTTATAATATCGCGTTTATGGAAATTGTTTGCAGTTAATCATGAAAGAAGATATTATATTGTCTTAAAATTTTTTATACAAAAACTGTCATTTTTAAAGAGAGAAACGAACAAAGCAATTGATTTGAGATCAATGTGCTTTACAGAATTTGTTTATTATATATTATTATAAGTATAGAATTTCAATTTGTATAGAAGTTTTTAAGAGTACCTCTCCATTCATACAAAGTTATACTTTGAATGCAAATGGAAGTTGCAAAAGATTGAAATGTGGTAATCCATTGCCTTCAAAATAGACGTTAAAGTTTCAATTTATTCAAATAGGGGACCGTAACTTGTGAATTCAACATGGTAATCTGAACCAATACAATGACTTCGTACGTCTTCCTCAGTTTATGTCATTGTTTTCAGACAAAACCGACATTTACCTCATTGTATTGAAATCTATGTTTGTATAATTAATTATTGTATTTCAGTCTATATATTGAAAATAGCGATGAAAACAATTAGATAGTAATGAAATCAAATGGAAGAACATTATTTTAGAAGAAATACTTCAGTTTTCACTTGTAAATTCAACAGTATTTACATTTAAATGTGATACAGTCTATCATAAAACCTATAAACATCAACGCTACTGGCACGCAAGGTTTTCACATGAAGCTACTTTTCACCTCATTATTTAAAACAGCCTATATAATACAAAATTCTAAATTAAATATTTAATTAAAATGACAAATAAACTCATCTTTACAACGATTTAGTTTATAAATCGATAGGTTAAACTTGGTTCAGTCATTGCCAATGCGTAGTTGAAATCTGATAATATTTATTTGAAATTTCAATTGCGTTGGAATCAGATTTGGAATAAGTGTGAACATGCATTTTACATGAAGCGATCTACTTTACAATGTTAAAGTTGAAATTTATGTTATCGGAAGTTTACTGTTATAATGCGAGGTTAAAGATATAAGACAGTTACATCATAGAGGCACTTAAGCCTTAATTATGGGTTTTATAAATATAATTAGGTTTCTTGATCATAAATACCTGTTGTTTCGTTGATGTTAAAGAACGGTGTAAACGGATTTCCTTCAGAAACTAGTCCATATCTTATTTGCCGAGGAGCACCCTTGTCGCCATCTTCAGCCCGTACTCTTACTATCATATCACCAGGAATCACTTGGCGAGGTAAATGGGTGATGGGTGGAGCTGAAGTAAAAACAGGAGGCATGTCCTGAACATCCTGCACAACCACCACGACCTCTAACCCAGCTATATTTCGCGTGTCCTTGCCTATTTCAACGTAGGGATCCTGAAAGATAGAAGGTTTTTTTTAATCATTTTGTCATAAAACTTTCGTGAAAATTTGAAAACGAATTTTTATATTATTCAATATATAAATGGAATGAAAAATAATTAATTAATAAAGAAATTCTTACAACAGCGAGCAATGTTAGGTGGTACATGGATTGAGCCTCAAAATCCAATGGACCAACTAAAAATATTGTGCCCTCGGTATTCTCGCTAGAAACTCGGCGTTGCCGGATTGCGAAGAGCGGCGAACCCTGAACAGAAAAAAATTGTGATTGTAGGCAAGACAAAAGGCTTTAATCACCCCTTTGGCAGAAAAACCTTTGAAATGGGTTATTTGAACTGTAACGGAGGTCTGCAATCGTAAAGTCGGCATAAGTCAACCTTGGGCCAATTTATAAAAGTCTAGAACTGTAAATTGAAGTATAATTATTTACAGTCATTAATATTTTTACAATTTATAAGGTTTAAAATTCTATTAGAGTGTCATATATTTAATGAGATTTATAATTTAAAAAAAAATCAATGTTGAATTAATAATCATTCAAGTATTATTGATATTTTCTCATTTATCTAATTTCGTAATTATATCACACCTTAACACGCCTTAAGATACAAGTTCCACCCATTCACTAAAATTCTGAGAACACGCCTTAAGTCTTCTAGATGGTAATTGTGTAACATGATTACACCAAGGTATTCTTTGTCGCTTGGCATTATTATTATGTAAATTATTGCAATAAAATTGTTTCTCCTCAGTAAACATTAACAATAAAGTGACAGTTGTCAATAAATTAGACGGTATTACTGCATAACATGGCAAAAAACTATAGAATTCACATTTTTAAAAGATAAAACACATTTCATATTATTATAATATAGGAATGAGAAGTTACGAAGATAGTTTTAAATAGTCTTTTTTATGCTTCAGGCTAATTAAATAAGACAATTATGTAGAGACGAACTACTACGTCTAATAATAGCTTTTCACTTAAAATTAAAATATAAATAATTTACGACGATGAAATTCCCTCAACGCTATATCATGGTGAAAATGATTCCCATTAGCGGTGGGAGCGAAACTTCATTATGCGGTTACAGCGAAATGCGTTTTAACTGTGGAGTTATTCAACATCGTTAAATCCAATCAACACTTCATTGTCTTGGTTGCAAATTAAAATGAACATTTCGTACCCAAAGCTCCAACTCCAGAGGTTTTGGGGATACTGGATTCTTCCTTGCAATTACAATTTCAAGGTCGGTTCCTCTCTTTGCATCCTGTAAAAAAAATCTCTTAAGTAAAAAAATAATCTAAAATCTACTAAAATTTGGACTTCGTCAAAGCATTTTGTTCTTCTTTGTATTTATATAGGTTTCAGTTGTATTGCAATTTAATAGTGATTTAGTTTTCCTAGTTTGTTTCCCCCGTAGAAGTGTCATGTCATCATCATCAATCACGACGCATCATGGCAGGCGTCGGACGGTACTTCATTTGAAGACATACATAAATAATACTGGACATAGATACTAAACTTTTTAAAATGAGATGTAGTGTTTTGACTACATAACTGACTGATATTTAAAATTTATTTTTAATTATTACCTCTGGCACCAAAATGATACTGGGTTGATGTGGAAATATAGTATCTCGAGGGGTAGTAGCATTAGTGCCTGTGATCGAGCAAGCAATTCGAGCACTTCGCCCTCTGGTATTCCGAGCTGACAGCCTAAAGTCCACGTAGCGGCCTGGCTCCAGCCTCCTTAGCAGTATCACATTGGCTTGACAGACTGAATTGTACCGAGTACAAGGTAGTGTCTCAATGCCGATGTCGAGTCTGCCCATTTGCCCTGAACATAAATTAGAATATCTCATAACTGTATAGCCTAAAGGCAACTAAAATGTTGATTGTCAACTATAAATGTTAATATAAAGTTAATCTCAAGATATAAGTTTTGTTCTCAAGTTTCCAGTTTTTGTGCACTAATATGATTTGCTTACCGATGAGTTCAAAGTGCAAGGGGTAATCGAAGTCCGGGTCGGAAGCTCGAACGCGGTAGATGACGGAGCCGGTGGCCGCGTCTGCCGGCACCAGCACGAGCCTCATGAGTGTGCTGGGGTCGAACACGGGATCGCCGCTGTGAGCTGCCGCAGCCAGCGTCAATAACACCAGCACCGCCGTTAAGGTCATCCTAGTACAATTAAATTGAATAATATTCACTACTAGATATGAATGAACACAAAAGTAAATATAGAATATTCTAAAACATGACCATAGACTTGATCAGATTAATCAAAAATTGCAAACATTTCGCAAAAATCAAAGTCGTTAGTCGTATAAGCCAAAGTTTTTGTTCGTATAATAAGTGTATTTTTCTTTCTTTGTAGTCTTATCTGCTTTCGTATTATATTCGATTATGATCGATTTAGAGATTGAGGAAGAAAACATAATAGACTGATAGAGAGCTACTTTCACCTTTACAATAATAGTAGGATTATTGCTGTACTAAAAATAATATAACATAAATAGTACCTCAAACATTAATGTCAAATAAACATGGATTTCTTACGCATCCCTGACAACGTAAGTAAAACAAATGATAATAATTTACGTCACAAGGATACAATAACGTCGTTTAATTTAGCTTAGTAACTGCTTAGTATAAGAGGCCGGTGTCAAATGGTTCTAAATAAGTGCCCATATTGTACAAAATACCAGTAGAAATCCGAATAAAGCGATACATTTTGTTACGAGATATCCTTAACCCAAAGCTAGGTGTTAAATAAAATTAAATGCGTGAGCTGTTCGAGCTTTGAAGAGATCTCTTTACGGCACTTATATTTACTCAATTACATGTTTATGACTTCTTACAACTGGATATAATCGTATTATCTAAATGCTTTTATTTACTTTTGATAACAAGAATTATGTTGTGTAGTCTTCGCTGTAATAAAAACATGAATATTATTAAGACGTTACAGTTAGCAAATTAAAATAAAGACACTTTACATTTTTTTGGAATTTTAAATTGTTATAAAAAGCCATTCAACAAAATTTGTTATGTTAATTTTATTCAATATTTTAAAAAGTTCCCTTTTCTTCAATCCGGAACGGATTTCTTAATTGTTCTACATTTTTGATAACAAAAGCTTGTAATGAAAGAATCGAAACGAAAATATAGCTATAGATCCTATTGTCTATAGTTGAAAATTCTTTTTTTAAACTATTAATTTTTGTTCAAATGAGAAAAATATTAATGTTTCATTGGTTTCTTAGTGAGATTCATATTAAATAACTTTGTATTTATTTAGATAAAGATCAAAAGCAGGAATGCGTGTGATTGTAGTAACAGTTCATTTGATTCCGCAGCAATCTTAAATAGCATCTGAAACAACGCTGCCCGCTAATAAAGATACGAGAAATGCCATAATCTATAGCGAATTACTCATACCCTAGAACACCGCAGCGACTTGCGAAAGGGAAAATTGTGTTATGAAATCACCCGCTTCTGAGTTACCAGGAAGCATCCACTTTATAGCTGCATAGAATTAGTGAATTTAATTTATGTACACCGGAATTTCATATTTATATATGCATACATCGTATACTGTAGATGTATATCTACATACAAAAATACTTAAATTATTTGGCCAAGTACATTTTATGTATGTACAATTATCACATATTGATTCAAAAATATAAAAATTTTATTAACATTCATATCAAACATTCAGATCATTAAACGTTTCCTATTATTGTAGGTGTAAAGCGTTTTAAATTGTTAACTGACAACCATTTCACGCGAATAAAACACCTGACAATCTTAATGTTCAGATATGAAATTAAAATTTAATCCGTTTCTTACTACCGCTTATATATTTTCCGGGCCAAAGGTTGAGAAACCCTGTCACGAGTTCTCCTGACACTTTGGGTATCGGTTTAACATATAAACGTGCAATAAGTCATCGAAGCGAGCCTTAAATATGGGTTGACGTGAATTTCGCAAAATATAGACACGATCTGAACTGGAAGTCTGTGTACACAAGACGGAACTTTGGATAGTATGGGAAGTCATCTGAAAGATAAATTTAAAGAGATGCTCATATTTTACTTTCATTCTTTTATTAATACATAGATGCAATTGGAAATCCATTCTAATACTTATATACTTTAAAGGTAGATATTACAATTAAAATTTAAGCAGATAAAGAAACTAGAATAAAGCATGTAAAGAAGGCTATTTAAATATTTTGACTGACACGACCTTTGTGACTTCTTTATTTAAATCAATTTATAAATTACATAATTAGTCATAATGGAATCAATGAAGAAAGCTTTAAATAAGTTAAAGTTATAAGACCCATACAGGTTAATGAGTTAAAGAAATTTGTGTAATGGCTACTTTAAAACATTAATTTCTTACTGGCCATTGCGTGTTCCGAAGTTTCCGGTTGAAATACATTTCTTAGTACTAAAAATACTCAATGATTCAATATGGTTGTAGTGTAATTTAATTCATTGCTAAAATAAATCAGTTTTAAATATGATATGATTTATATCATTTACAGCTTCTATTTCGGAGTAATTCTTACACGGTTACAAAGCTAGTTTCTAAGACGCCATGCTAAAATATGTCTGTGACCTAAACGCCACCTTGACGAGTTAATCTTGATATAATGGCCTTTACTGTGAATTACCTAAATTAATTCCAAGCAGATGTAATTTTAAATATTGTTACTGAAAATGTTAATGTAAGAGATTTGTGACGAATTATTCAAATTTTATACTACAATAAATGTTCACTTTTAGTTTGAAATGATATTTACTGTCATAGAAACATAAAAAGTGATGTTATTGAGATCGTATTGACTTGACACCGTTAAACTGACATTACTAGCTTCAAAGGTATTATTTATTGTTTCCTGTTTATATTCCACTATACGAGTAACTTCTTTAAGTTTATATGATACATGTTTTTTTCTGTGGCTTTATTTTCGTTGTTTTCAATATTGTGGTTAAGATAAAATTTTGTGCAATATAATAGACATTTTATCCATCAGTGATATCTGTTGTCATTGTCATGAAACTGTTACGAAGTGTTTCCGTACAAATTGAACAGAATTAAGGGATTAAATGTAGTTTTTACATTATTCTGATGTTTAACCTACATAACTAAAATATTTTATTATGATCCAAACAGTATCTTTTGCATGAGAGAACTACAAACAAATGCAGAAAGGACTCCAATGTTTTATATTATATATATTAGTGGAATGACGTTAATATCATTATGAGGTAGTGATTTTACGTTTTATTTTTAAAAATCTTAATTTTGTAAAATTCTAGTCCAAACCATGATTCGTCTCACAATGGCAAGTATCTATTTAATCCTAAAACCATATCTTTGTAATCGTTAAACGTTTCCCTATTTTTGATTTAAATAAATAAAACTAACAAAGCTAAAAAATTGTCATATTAAGAAATAAAAAAAACATATATTAATGTCAATATGAATTCAATCCAGAAACCAATAATAATGATGGAAAGATTTATAGGTATGTACATATAATATAAAATACTATAAGAATAATATTGATTTCCAATTTATATATTTAAATATAAGGGCTGTGTTTTACCAATCGATCAAAGATACAAATACGTAATCAGGGCTTCACTGGAGAATAATTTCGATCGTTTATCAAAACACAAAGAGATAGCTTAACTAGGTGTTGCGAAGATGTGCTATTTGTCATTGTCGACAGACGAAAGTATGTAGTTTCTTTGATTGGCGTTCTAAGGCGTCATGAGCAGCGGGATACTATGAAATGGCCCCTGCACGTTGTGACCCCAACGTAATCCTAATAGTACGCTTGCCAGTTAGATGATGACCACAAAATCCAAACGGTTTTTATGAAATAAATATTCATATTTTTAAATTCCATCTAAATTAAACTAATTAGAAACGAAAAGTGAAACTGATTATGAATTACCATAATCTTATATTGAGTCGATAAGAATATCCGGCTTAATGTTGTTATATTTTAAGCGCTGGATTAGGATTTTGGTTGGGTTAACATATGCATCGAATGATTATTATTATATCAAGAAAGAATTTATTCCATTATACAAAAATCTACTACGATTTATGATTTTGTAATACTCTACATTCTTCATTAAAATGTCAGTTATATATATATTTTTATTAAATATATGGAACTAGAATGAAAGAAGTAAATAAAATATAAAAGCTAAAAAAATGTGTTGTTAACACGCTATTGTTAAGGAAGATCGATTTGTATACATTTCGAATGTATGTAGGTTATCGTTTTAATTATACAGATACACTAAACTAGAATATTTATTATCTGTAAAATGGTTTCCAATATAACTTAAGTGAAATTTTGTATAATAAGAATATAATGATTCACGGCCAATGGCCATAGCGTAGTGATGTTAATGATCTCAATGTGTAATTAACGATAAATATTATAAAGTTATGTTATAATTGGATACCGTAACAACTACAAGTATTCGATGAGCTATAAAATACAAAACAGCTAGGTTTGCGCTAGTTGTAGTAAGTCATACCCATAGAAATATAAATATATACTTACAACACGGTATTGGTCAAACAAAAAATATTAATGGAATTGAATGGTAAAACTCTAGTAACTATCTGTAGATTAAATCTTTCTATTAATTAGTGAACTCTTAAATTACAACGTATTATTCCGGAGGTATAAGTAACTTATATTTCAATTTATAACCATTATATTTCTTATTAATGTACGCTTCCTAGAAATTTCTCTATCTGTAGCAGTCGAGATAATTAGTCAGATAAGCTTCATAGAGTAGCCGTTGTTATCTTGATCTAGAAGTGACTTATTAAGGTTTATTAACATGCCGTTTGACTCCTTGACCCATATAGGGTGGTATCGTGGCACTGTAAATCTTTACAAAAACTTAACTTTATAGCAAGGATCACGCAAGCTGACCCTTACACTAAGCCACATACGGCGACGACCTAAATAAAACCTTTATGGTCTTATGCTAAATAGAGATAAGGTAACTTGATTTATTTTTAACTGTTACCAACAAATACATAACCGTAATGGGATAATTAGATTTTTTTTCATTGACAGCATTGAATACAACTGGGTCAGCTTGTTAGATTTCTTCAGTAAGATTAA